TCAGCCCAGCAAGAAACCCGAGAGGCCACCCAGCAAAGCGTTGCCCCATGTTCTGTGCACCCAGAGACCCTGGGAGGCTAAATTGAGCGTTCATTTAAGCACCCATAACTGGGAGAAGGTAAAAGGGAAGGCTTGCAGCTATTTCACAAAGTTTCCAGGCTTAGGGTTGCTTCGTTTTTCTGCGATGAGATACAGCTTGGCCAACACCAGCATTGCTCTGCGGTGGCCTCGAGGAGCTCAAGAGCAGAGCCACGTTTGGGGGCTCTGCTGCTACATTCAAGAGCTATACGCGGCTTGACCCGTGCATGCTGCAGGCGCCTGTTCAAGCGCCATTGGGAGGAATTTGGCACGCAATTTCCCAAGTATGAGGCCGAGCACGAAGGTCAAGTAACATTTTAAAGACTCACAAAGAGTGAGTCTTTGTCACTCAAGGACATCTGTCTCAAGGACAGATGCCTGAAAATCCTGGAGAAAGCCACTCTGACATAGTGTCCATGCACATGCAGCCCACTGAGCACCTCAAGCCAGGGCTCAGGCTGCTTGGAGTACAAGACATCTCTGCTGCTCTGCAGCCTGAAGTTAACAGCCTCTTTTTTTGCTTAAAAAACAACCCAAAAACCCAAACCTTAGAAAATCTGATACTGTTATCAGCTTTTTGTTGTTTTTGTTTTCAAAGAAGAATATTTCAATTTAAAACAATTAAAAGCTACCGATGCTTTATGCAGTGCAGCACAAAGAAATGTTCATTACTGTATAATACAGGATTTTCAAGAATGTCCAAGACTGCAGTCAAAAATCCATATCAAAGGTGCAGCAATCCAAAAAGTCCCTGGCTAAACAGGTCAGGGCCTGCCCACAGAGAATGCAAAATGCTCCTATAAGGTAGGTACAAAGCCAATGCCTATCTGCAAGCTGTTCGAGTTGCTCACATACCCACAGAGCAGGCCAGCAAGAAGAAACTCTAAGCTGATTAAATTAACCATCCCCAAAGTGCCCTGGCAAGGAAGGGTTACCTGCACAGCGCAATGATTTTTGCTTTGATCTCCAGGAAATGCCTGTTTATTCGAAAATCCATTTGCTATGGCAACCAAAGTTTATAGAAAAGGGGAGAAAAATCCCAATGCTTAGCTAGAAATCTTGTATAACTGCTGGAGGAGTCAAATATTAAACACCTGAGGCCAAGCAGCATTTCCAGCAGTTTCCCCAAGAATCATAGGGATGCGGGGGTGGATTCAGGAGCAGATTCTCAGTGGGGACACCCGCTGCCTCCTGCAGAGCAGGGATCTCCTGCAAAAAAGCCAGACTGCAGAAGAGGCTCCTGGGAGTTTATGACAGTGAAAACACATTCAGATCAAGAGTGAAAGACCTCTCTCCCAGGAGTGCTGACAGCAACCCAATGCTGTGCCAAAGGCATCAGTGCCAATGAGAATTGCCTGCCCTGGTCATTTTATCACTCTTCTCTGTCTGCAAGACGACACAGTCAAAAGCTGCAGAGACAATTAAAAGCCAGGGATCAAAGGTTCCTTCCTTTGGAAGCTCTGGGTATTTTTGCTATTCTGCTGGAAGGAAAAGAAAGAAAGAAAGAAAAAAAGCCCCATAAGCCTCAAGAGGGGCACAATATTCAAGGTCTGCTCTATTTCCTTCCCACTTAAAATCAGAACAATTTTTAGCATGGTTGATTCCAGACGCACAAAACCTGTACCTTAGTCCCATTGCTCAATCATAAATCAGCTTTAAAAAGTCTATTTTTAAAATGGCACATATAATGGGTGAGGGGGGATGGTTGCCTTTGTGCACCCAAGTCCTACATCACACTTCAGAAAACAACTTAAAAATGTGACCCAGCCAAAAGGGCTTAAATCAGACTGTTTTTTTTTTTTTTTTTTTTTTTTTTTTAAATAATAGCATGAGTTTCTCAGCTTTTATTTGGTGCCCCTGTTTCCAGCAGCTGGGATTTATGCAAAAGAACATCAAATGCCACAGGGCTTATAATACAAATAAAATAAAATCATGAGAGCTCCCAGCATTGCAGTTTTGCAAGCCTCGCTGGGCTGCTTTCAACCAACCCGAGACTGCTTAGCCTCTGCCACAAGCAAAGAAGAAAAGACGGGAAGGAGAAAACGAAACAAGATAGCGCCTGCTGGCTCAGGACACATCATCCCTGCAATGTATTTATACACTTAGGAATTTCATGCTAGAGGCTGTCATCTCGCCAGTTCTATTCCAGAAGACTCACTAGGGTGCTCCAAGCCCAGCTTGGGGCTTGCAGTTGGTTTCTGCTCTACACTGCATGAGAGCTAGATTTCTTTTCCTTCAGCTTTCTATGGATCAGGTACAAGAGCAAGAAGGAATTTGTTGTGTTTTATGCTTCCATCCCTGTGCGTTCAAATAAAGCTGCCCTGGGATAAGCCACTTCCCTTTGCACAGATTGGTTTTTGCTCCATAAATATCACATATCTTCTGGTTACCCAGGGGGGAAGCCAAATGCCCACCCTTAAGCACAGGGGCTTCGTGCTGCTCACAGGGACAAGGAGGCCTCTGCAGCAGGCCAGGTTTCCACACATATTTTCCTTGTTAGTCCAAGAACAGACAAGAGGCTCCGTTTGAGCCAGAGCCCCTCTCAACACTATCAGCCCATGGCACAAGCCACACATTTAGAGCCAGGAGCTCCACTGCCCAGGAGGCTGGATGCATCCTGCCCTCTCGCCAGCCTATCCACTTGCTACCACGTGATGCTGCGGGTCCCCCCATCCAGCATGCCAGTTCTTGCTGGCGAGAATAACTATGTGGACAGAAAGCAGCGTGGGGCAGGCAGAAAGGTGAACATGATAATGAAAAGCTGGGTTTATAGTTGGATGCTAATTTTCCCCAACAGTGCTGGCAATTTAAAAGCAGGAGCTTTAAATTTGGGGTGAAAAGCTGAAAGGCAGAGACTAGAAACCTTCCTGAAGTAAAATGCACTGGTTTATTTACTTCTCTCAAAGCCAGTAAAACACTGGAACATTAATAAGAACAGCCTGAGCAATGACATGCAAATGCTAGTCCAATAATTAAATAAAGAGGACGATCCTCCCCGCAAAGCAATGGCTGGGGCTGTAAAGTCTGCCCTCCCGGGACACTCCGGTACAGGAGCCTCTTGTTCCAGCAGCTTCAAAGAGATTGTTTTAATTTTAGCAGGGCAGCAAGCATAGGACATTACAAAGCACTTTCCAGACAAAAGCAGAGCAGAGGAGATCTGCAATGCATTTTCCCTACAGGAAGGAAGGCAAAGCTTCCTATTGCAGGGAGGATGTGGAAGGGGAAAGGGGAGGCAGCTGACATTTTGGAGGGAACACACCAGGCCAAGAAATAACATACAGGCAGATCAGGCACAGCTCAAGGAGGCTGAAGGAGATGAACAGGGTGGAATTTCACCCAGTTCCATCTTTCCCCCAGCGTTTGGCTCAATAATTTTGTCCAGTTTAGCTTTGCTGCAGCCACAATCTGTCCAAACCCCTCTTAGCAAACATGTCTCCTTTCACTTCCTTAGACCAGCACCTATTTACTTTCGTTCTTTAGTGCACCCAGACACCACCCACATGATTAGCAGCCATCCAAATACTACATTTCCAGACAACAAGCAACTCTTTAGCTTCCCAATGGGACAACTTGACAGAAATGCACAGTGCTGCACACTATAATCTTCCGAATGGGGTGTCAGAGAGAAGTTATGGGCTTTATCAATGCCATTTTAAATCAAAAGGGGCATGGACGCATGTAGGCATTGCAAAACAAGCCTGCTGAATGTTGTCCAGTAAAACAGTGCATTTCCAACATTGCTAAACTGAGGAATGAAATAGATGCAGACTGTGTTGCTCCAGTGACAGACCTACAACTCGGTTCTTGCTCTGGCATAGAGCCCTGCCAGGCCCAGGGACAGGCTCTGATGGTTCCACTCTTACCAGTGCAAATCTCAAAAGCTGAAATGTCCTTTTTTGCTCTAGCAGGATTAACCCAAGAGGTTACAAAGGTATCTGGAGTATTAAAAAGAGGAAGGGGAAAAAAAAAAAAAGAAAAAAAAAAAAAAAAAAACAGAACTGCTGACAGTGCATTTCAACACTTTCATGACTTGCCAATACGCCCTTGGTGGCTGCCGAGTTACTCAAGTAGAGTTACAAGAAGCAGCAGACAAACTGGTTGAAAGAACAAGGAGGAAACAGAAAAAGAGCTTGAAGATCCTCATGGTCACCTCTTTTCTGCTATCTTAACAACCGTGCACACATTAGCGAGAGGCAAGTATGCAAGGGGGGGGGTTGCCCTCACCCCCTCCAAACCCCTTAGTCCTTTCACACTAACCTTCCTCTGGTGCTTGGGAATTAACAGGGAAAAAAAAAAAAAAAAAAGAGCAGGGGAAAAAGATATACCTGGACAAAGAGAGAGATGCTGGCCTGCTGCAGCAGCCTCAGCACAACTAGTTGCTGCAGTGAGCTGCCACGTCACATTTTGTGTTTAGGTGACAAAACGCCCTTACGTTTTGTTTCTGGGGCTCTTCCCAGGACAGGCGTCCACAAACTTGTGGAGGTAAGAGGACCACCAACCTCTCACTGTTTGCTTCTTGAGCATAACAGACATGCAACCAAAAATAAGACACGGATCAAAAAACAGGGTTACCCTCCTATGAGATCTTGTACAAGGGGGCCTGAGTGGGGAAGAGGAACCCTTAGAGGTGTAGGATTTTCTAATTTAAGTTTGTAGTGTTGAAAAATCCAACAACGCCAGTTTTCTCTTCACAATGAGTATCTTCGGAGCTTCCCTGGTCTTGATTTAGAAGGATTTGTGCCCATCAGAGAGGAGGGAAAATCCAGGAATTACTGAAGGAGTGAGCAGAGTGCAACTTGTGACTCATTTCTGACTTATATTGGTACTTCTCTCAGCTCCGGAGGTGCTGCTTTACTCAAAATTAGCCATTTCCTCTGCAAAGGGAGAAATGTGCAGCTGTACACAGAGCAAGGGGCTCTTACCCAAAGTTTGCCATCCCAGTAAAAAGCTCCCAGCAGCTTGACGATGTGTCGATGATCACAAGTCGCCAGAATTTCAATCTCCACCATATAATCCTCCAGTTCATCTTCGCTCTTGGTTTCAATGACCTTGGCAGCTGCTAAAGCACCAGTTTCTTTATTCTTAGCCTGCAAGACAAAGAACAGGTTGAGTAAAAAGGCAGGGAAAGCTGGGAGCGCACCATATCAGCACCATTCCTGTTCCTCCAGTTCATGCTCCTCTCCACTATTAACATACACAGCATCAGTATGGAAAACTTGCAGCTGCATTTATGCTTCATAAACTTGCCTGAAACTTTGCATATAAGATGAATGCTGTGTAGGGCCCAGCGCTCCTGGTGATGTGTTTTAGTGAGGTCCTTGGATCCTAGGCGGAAAAACACTGCACATGCTCTCCTTTCTGCCCCCTCCATTTTGTATCATGCCTTTAATCAGCTTATTTCAGCCTCTTTCACTAAGGGACTAGAAACCTGTCAAAACCTCTTTGTTCTAGTAGTTAGGAAACTTTTTGCGGCATCCCACCTAAAAGCTCTGGTGGAAAGTTTCTGTTCTGTGGTGACATGCTCAGTGTGCTCCTGTCTTGCTGCTGTAAACACATCAGAGCTCCCCTTTAACCAGGTGCCATGCCCTATCCTCACATCTCCAACACCCAGGTCTTCTCCCTCAAGCACCAGTGACCAGAAATGGGCACGGTACCTGCAGAAACAATGGCAAAACCGCCCAGCTAATGCACTGCAGACCAAGCACTTAGACAATGCAACAAACAGTTATGAACCTGTATACGCATTTATCCTTGCCCCAAATTCTACTAGCCCTGGTCAAATACAAGGAATTGCTCAGCAATCAGCTTAAGTGCCACAGAAGGAGGAGGGAAATGGTGAAAGACTGAGGGCTGTTTCAGTTGGACCTGTAGACCTTCTTTCCCCATCCAGCACCTTTTCCTCAAGTTTAGAAAGAGGCCACTGCCAGCAACACAGTGCCTGCCTCGTTTGCAGTTGCCAAACACCAGCAATAGGCTATTAATGCTGAACCAGAGACACTGGCTGCCATAGTTGCTTTCTCATCACTCAGCTCCTCTTGTGCCCTCATGGCACACAAGGTGAGGGAAAGGAAGCTGATGAAAGGTTTGGTTAAAAGGAAACGTTCTTAACCAGTTAGGACCAGGCTGTCCTCAGAGTTGGGGCAACACTGGCTGCAATGGCATAGGTCACCTCCACCAAGGAGCCAGGAGTGGTTGGCAGCCTAGAGCTCACTGCTTATGTCTCATCACAGCAGCATCCCACTCCGAGACATCTCTGCTTCTCCCTCGCTGCTCTGTGTGTCTGAGCAACTGCACCCAACACACCCCAAGGACAAGATCATTTTCACATTGTCCACCCAGCATCATGGACATTTATCCCTATGGGATAAATCATACTCTGGGAAAGGGGATGAGCCAGAGCTGTTGACTCAGGGGCTCAGCACCATTTCCAGACAGGCACTGAATCAGCAGAGCAAGGAACAGGAGAAATCCCTATTAGCTCACCCACTCTGGTCCCCTGCCAATGCAGGAGAGCTCATACGGCTTTAATTGCAAATGTGTCACCCATGGGTCTAGAATCATACCTGCCCCTGGTCTGCTGTTCTGGGAAATGCACCCACTGGGCTCACATGTACTTCCAGAGCCATTTGGATGCTGCCCCTAGGGGAATGCAGCAGGAGCAAAGTCACATTTTGCATGTTGTCACTGGAGGAGCAGTGACCAATTTTGACCCCTCTCACTGCTCTGTATTTTATCTGTCTGCTCGAAAAGCCTATGCAGGAGCTTACCGGAGGATTAACTCCCAGCACAAACACCGTAAGCTCAGCCAGACAGTTCTGTGTAGGTTACACAGTTACACTATCATGTATCAAGAAACAGGCTGAATGGGAGAAGGAGAACAAAGGGGGAAAAAACATATAATGGAGTAAGAAAAAAGAAAGGAAGAGAGAAATGGAAAATGATGTTCTCTTCTCTCAGATAGAGCTTCCCATCTCGTTCCTGGGTTTTGAACATTTGCTGAATTCACACACTACTCGGCACAGAGGGCTACATCTTTACCACAGGGTACAAACCCATCTTCAACCAGGCTTGCTGCCCAAATGCCAGACAACAGCTCATGTTGCTTCCAGAACAATTTATTATTATTTATTTTGCTCAGGTCTGTTTCTTAACCAGTTGCCCCCAAGAGGCTGCACAGACTGGGGCACACATGGGCAGAGAGGGGAGCGGCGCAAGTGTGGGGGAAGAGCAGCATTTCTAAGGAGAAGCGAGAAGTGCCCAGCGCAGCCACCCTGCACTTACAGAGCTGGGAGAGACCCCAGGAGGGGAAGTAAATATTGTACAAAAAGGTGGGGCTTCCCTTTGCGGTCAGCTATCACACACTTCCTCACCGCCAGGGCTCAGGCCAGCTCAGCCACTCCAGGCACTCTGGAGCCCTGAAGGCACTTGAAAAAATATCGAGAGTGCACCCTAGTTGTCCTCTTCAGCACGGCAGAGCCTGGCAGGGAGCCCGCCTGAGATCTGGAGGGCAACCAACTTGCCCTCCTGTCCAAACCTAGGTGGGAGACAAGCCAGCAGAGACATGCTTCACCTCCCATTCCCTCCTGGGTGCACTCACCCTTACCTAGACTCACTGTCCCCTTGGTCCACACCTCCTTTCGACCAACATCCTGCCTCACTCCCAGCAAACATGGACCCATGCCCAGACTCTGGCTTGTTCTTGCCCACTGGAGGGTCACCAAGCAGGAACAAGAGCACTGCTAGCTCCCAAGTCCTTTTAATATGCAGGATGCAGAAATGACCAAAAAAGCAGGATGCACTGGGAAAGGGTGCAGAGAAGCCATGGTTGCAACTACGTGATGCTTTCCCCCACCAAGACCTTTCCTAGGCACTGGCAGTACCAG